AAATTTAATAAAAAAAACAATCAACTTACAGCCTCAGGTCAGTCAAGTCCAGTGTTAAATATTGGGCGAATAAATGTTTTTTGGTTATGTTCTTTTTTATTTATTATTTTATTTTAGGTTTAGACAACCAGAGGGCTTTTTAATTCTGCTCCAGAGGTATATTATGACCCCTCACCCCTGAAGATTTGCTCCATTTTCTCATGAAGCCTGGGCTTAGCATTTGTCAAGATTGAAGAAGATTAATCTAGACAGGAAGTCAGACACGGGAAACAGCATTTGTGATGTAGTCAGCTTAAAATAAGTAACACCACGTCTCGATTCCATTTTACTGATTGTAAACATAAGACAAAGCCTCTAAATATGTTAAAGTCACTCTGACTACAGACTCAGTATTTAGTTTTTGGTGCCTCAAGTGGACACCCATGGAACAACAGTTTTGCCCACTTCATTAGCTTCATTTCTCAGGACCAGAGGGAACCACTTAGGAGAGATTCGTCTAAAGAATTGATTGTGACTAAATTATAAAATATTTGCCTAAATCTACATTAGACTTGCTAAATTCTCAAATATGTGGAGTCCTGGGGGTAATTCTTGTCCCCTGGGAACTTAGACTCAAAAGATTCTGAGGATAAGAAAATGTTACGCTCCACAAATTGCAGCATTTCCACCTCTCAAACTTCCCATGTATCACTTCCCTCCCACACTTCTGCCAGGCAGTGTTTGCCACAGCCTTGTCTGAATACATTAATCTTGGTACTTGTGTGAATCGCTGCGGTGGGAGCATGACCTCATACCTCCAGGTCATGATTCAAGGTCACGATTTAGTTCTATCTACACTCCAGCCACTGTTTTGCATTTTGACTCGGGCAGAGCTTTTAGCTCTTTTCGCTCACCATTCAACAGAACTTGTCTTTTGCTGCTCCCAAATGTCGGAATGACCTTAAGTCGCACATATTTCTGTTCAGAAAATATTTCTCCCTAGGCGTTAAATAGGCTATGAAAATAAAGCTTTCCAAAGCAAGGACTCAAGGTTCCTTCAGATTCAATGTCGGGGTCAAAGGTCAGAATTTCGCTTAAAAAGTTTACACCAGGCAAAAGTCATGGCACTGTATTTATTTACCTGCTACCACTTCTAAAATTACCAATCTTATAAAACCCAGTGTAAATCAGTTTGTGGTCACAGAGTATAAACACCCTGAGGTCCCACATTTCTAAGGAAACAGCCTTGGTGTATTTAATGGGAGCTTTGGCCCTGAGCAAGTCGCTCTTCCTCACTGAATCATACACTCCCTTGTCCTGCACTTACTGTCATTCTTTCTGCATCACTGATTTGGTCTCTTTGGCTCCATCCTGCTCTGCACTCTGACATGTTCTTGCTAGGCTCATTGGGATACTGTCGGGACATTCCAGCTGTGACCATTAAATCTCTATAACTGGTCATAGTGCTTGTACCGAAGGACTTTAAGGTTGTTCTATTCCTGTACTTATCATAGCGGGACAAGAACGCTCATCATTAATAAAATAAACAAAGTTTCAGTACATGCTGTAGAAATAAGATCCATTTCTTTTTGCAAAGTCTGTCTGAAAAAATGACACAAGAGGCCCAAAACCTAGAAAATAATAATAATAATAAAATACCCCTCCATCTATATATTTATTACCACAGTGAGTACATCCAATTGACTTGATGGCTGCACACAGTCTTGTTATTTTTGTGAACTTTACAGTGAGATAGGTGATGAAAAAGGGTGAAGTTTTGGCTGGAGCTACTTCAAAAACACAAACTTTACTACTATGGGGACCCACTATGTCTTTAGGAAATTCAAGAAGTGGGCTGTTTGATTGTTTCTTTGAGGACTGTTAATGGCCAGCTAAGATTGACATCCCAGCAGTGGCGATTGCTCTAAGACTGCAAGGGAAGCTCAGCTTCCATTAAAATGTCACCCCCCCCCCAAAAAAAAGAAAAAGTGGTGAAATACGTACTGCTGTGTGTACATTTCATTAACTAAATACGCACTAGAAAGCCTTCACCTTTTGTTCAGAATCACACTGTGATAAGAAGCTGATAATCACAGGTAACCGGCATAACTTCGTTCTCATTCATCCTCGCAGCGCCTCAGCGCTTCACACAGCCGGAAGCTCAGAGTCTGCTGACTTCAATGTGGAAGCTCAAAGCGGGTTGTTCCAGCAGCGAAACTAGACGCTCATTGGATAAATGCTGGGCTTTGTCCCGCCCATCGGACGCTCAGCTTCTCTGGAGTTCTATGACGAGAGGGTGGTCCCAACTTTCGCCCGGACTCTGAGCTTCTGCATCCATGATTGGATGAGCTGTCTGAGGCGAAATCCTTTTTTGATTGCTAGCTAGACAAGTGAATCAGCGATCTTGAAGAATAAAACATCTACCAGAGCATTTTCCAAGTTATTCATTCCGTTGTTAACTGCTCCGGAGACTTTACTGATCCTCAGCGACTTTTGCCTTTGTTAAAAACGACTGCCGTCGTGTTTGGCGACTCTGTTCTGTTACATACAAATAAACAAACACAATTATGATGTAGGCCAGAAAAATGAGCTTCCCCTCCTTGAAAGACCAGCAGCCGCCACTGCATCCCAGTTAATATCTTTGAGTAATGCACAACTAAAACAGGATACTGACAAAGATATAATCATGCTGATTTTGGTCCCAATCACCTGCCTCTGACAAATGCCAGCAAAAGCCCATTTATCCCAAGCTTGTGTTTTTTCTTCTTCTTGATCTGCACAGAGGATGATTGCAGCAGCCTGACTTGAAATCATAAATATTAAACATGTTCAGTCTTTGATGACCCACTCTGATGAAAATCATGTTTTCTTGTTGTCTAGATGTTCATACGGCATTTTTCTGATGCTACAGGACATCTCATGAGAAAACCAAAGTGCAAAATTGCATTTCTGAGTATTTCTGCATTCAAATTTCTGTGAACCTCCGGACCCAAACAGTAGGTTCAGACATAATGGGATTTTCTACGTCACAAATTCAAGCTCCCCTGTGCCCTGCTCTGATGGCCAGAGTACAGGAAGTAGAGAGGACGATCGCGGAACAAGTGTGTGGGGTAGCGGATTGCAATGCTTGTAAAAAAGATAACTATGATACAAGCTTTCATCATGCCCCTAGAGCATAAGTGTCTAAGAGCTAGCTAGCTCCTGTATAGTTGCTACTTCTACCACACTAGCAATGTTAGGCTAGGAGCTAGCGTGAAGAGGAGTGTGAAGGAGTGTGCAGAGCAGCGCCGTTTCCGCCCACGACTCAGAGGCAAACTGCTAATGAGCTACTGGAGCTTGAAAGACCACTGAGAAGACTTTAAATACTAAAAAAAAAAAAAAAAGCGATTGCAGTGGGACTTTGAGATCAGACAACCTTAACATGCCGGGCAAGCCTCAAAGTTGGCCAAGCATACATTTTATTTTCATGTGGAACAGCTTGATAACTGGGAAAGCAAGCTGACCAAGGCATGCAAAACAACTGTTTCAATTTATAAAATCAGTTAAGATTTTAAAAATCTTTGTGTCAGACCTAAATTTTAACTTCACTAGTATTTGCCCTGGTCGGTGGTCATCTAGATACTGCTTACTAAATTACAGAAATTTAGAAGGTTGTGTTCTCGTTCTTTGTCACAGTAACTGGTTGTTGTCTTTGCCCAGTTATAAAACTCTATCCACTAGTCCAGTGCTGCAAACACTGGTAACCATCATGCATTTCACATTAACTCTGCAGACAAAAGAGGAGCCACACCATCCCAATCATGTTTTTTAGGTAGTACAATCCCAATGAACAGGAACTTTTAAAAATCATTATACACACCAGAAAAATTGACAAAGAAAAAAAGATCTTACACTAAAATGTAACTAATTTGGGCCTTTGTCTGTTGAAATCTTCAGACATTTAAATCACCAAACCCACACCTTAAAGGTTAAGGGCCTGATCTACTAAGATCGAAAATAGCGCAAAATTGCGTGCGCAAACTAAAAAATTGCACATGCTATTACTGGGCGTGTTGTGGGTGATCTACTATCATAGCATGTGCAATTGATAGCGGGAGCAAAAGTAGTGCAGACCACCCTCTTTAAACGGGGCTTTGCATGTGCTATCACAATGGAGAGTTTGTGAGATCCGAGTGTTTAAAGCTATGGAGTTGCACATATCATTTTGGGGAACTGCATAAAAGGCAAGGGAAGTTTATTTGTACAGCAGCATTCATACACAAAACAATTCAAAGTACTTTACAGATGCAAGAAGATATATTAGAAATCAAAAAAGGGATTAAAACGATTTAAAGTTAATAAGACAAACAGATACATGTTTTTATCCGTCTCATGTTTGACCTTATTATTTATGAAAACCGTCATTTACCAGAAAAACAAAATAAATCACAAGCTTTTGGACAAGGATCATGGTGTCTATCATGGCACTTCTGCATCCTTCTCTCCACAATGAACGTGCGTAATGCTGCTCCAGTTTGCATGTTCCTTTCAAACGTGCTAAATATAGACTCAAAATAGCGACCGCAATCGGTTTGATAAGTCCCATTGTGGTTGCTAAATGATTTCATTTGCATCTGCTCCTCCCAGAATTTTGAACGATCTGATGATCTACATACATTCTGCATATTCATGAAGGCAAACACACTATATCGATTGTGTGCGCTGTTTTGCTCATTTGACGGACGCAATCCTCGGTGCACCCGGTTAGTTGATCAGGTTTGTGTGCACTATCAAGTTTGCATGTATATTTGCACAAGCAAACCTTTGGTAGATCAGGCCCTTAGTTTTATTTTTCTGTTACAGAGATAAAAAAAAAGTAAAGGACAAAGCTAGGCAAGAGTGAAATAAATAACTTTATTCTTCAGTCGGTGCATGAATTAAAACGTCTTTCATGATCAAGTCAAAGCTTGATTGGATTATTTTGCACATTCAGTCTCATTGACAGCTGAGCCATTTGGATGGTTTATTCTGTTTTCAAATGATGCAGGTTTGTCCATGTTCCAGTTAGCTGAATTTTTGTAGCCGTTAGCAGTCTGTCCTTCACACATTTCCTCTCTCTTTGTCTCACAGGAGCTTTTAGAGCTCTTTTGGAGTTTGTGAACAGTCCACACACAGCTCAGTGCGTGTGATTATTGTTGAAGAGCATACATTGGGAACACTTGATAGACAGACAGTGAGACTGTGAAAGAGATGGAAAGGGAGCTTGATTGTGGGAAAGGGAATGTGGAGGGGCGAGCTGGCGTTTGGCTGAGCGGTGAAGAGATATTCTCTGCAGTGCGTTCCATCTCTATCCACAGAGGCCAACTCTTTATCTGCTGCCTCTGTGGGCAGGCACAGGCAGACGCAGAGACGGTGGTATGAGGGAGATGGTGGCAGGCAGTGTGTTGCCTGGAACGACCTAGAAATAGGGGTGAAAGGAAAAGACAGCGGCAGTTGAAAGGATAAAAACAAAACTTTGAAAGAAAAAAAAAATATCCTCTTGATCTTATCTGGGGGGAAAAAAAAGAAAAAAAAATACTGAGATGTGTATATTACACTTAATATTAAGTGCAAAAACAATGATTCTTTTCAAAATTATAGACTTGCTTAGTGCAATAATTTTGCAGGTCTGCAGCGTCCTTACTAGATCTGGTCAGATCAATAGAGCTATGTTTGTAAGCTATTTCAGACAGGCCCTAAAAACTACACAAATTTTTCACTTGCCTTACATTAATGTCACAATCGTCCGACAAATGTATCTTCCCATTTCATCAGAGCATTTGAGCTGCAAGATTTTCTGTCTCTGCCTTCTTTTCGACAGTTCCCCTGCTGTCCTGCATCCGTGCAGCAATCAAACTTTCAGTCCCACCACCTTCCAGTGTTTACTTGCAGGGTTTTAGATATCATCTCGTCACTTTGTGTTTTCTTTATGTGTAACTGATCTGCATAGAGTGATGATGTTTAAAGCCTAGACATCAGATACAACATAACTCTGCTGCAATAAAGTTTTGAACAACACCACTTTATGATCATCGATCATAAAGGACATTTGAGTTGTCTTCATACTTTTGTTGAACAAGCCAACACCAGCTATGTAAGTTCAAGTTGCCCAGAAAAGTTTTAACTCCTATCGGTTTCAATCTCAATGCCCTTGGAGCTCACTAAGGAGCATGGCTGGCTCTACAGAGGATTCATTCTGCGTGACAGCTGCAGAGCAGCTTGGATTTTATTTCAATGTGCAGATGCATAAGCAGCGCGTCTTATGTTAAAAATCTAGAAAACAAGAGGTTTGTCTTTTTTGTTTTTTAGTAAACTGGGAACAGATCACAGGAAAATTAAACAGAAAAATCCTAAAGGCTGTATTCAGTCTTGATTATTGTATTTTTACGGTGGTGTTGGGCCAGATTCATAATCATGATTAAAATCTAATTGATCCCACAGCTTTAACTTTAAGTTGGAAAACAAAATTTTACACATTTTTAGGGATTAGATAAGTAAAGATGAAGAGGGGCTAACTTTATCCACCAGGAGCACCATAGTCAAGACAAAAACAAGTTTCCTCAGAGGAGCTTTCACATATATGTTTTACAAAATTAAGATTGAACAAAGTCCTGCAACAGTCACCTAGTCACACACAGCACACGTCTGCATGTGGTTATCTTATTGGCTGTGCCGTCAAAGGTCAGATGCAGATGAGGTCAAGGTTGAAATGATCGATGGAAAGCAATTTTCTGTTGAACACCACACTGCCTTCCAGTTGGATGGCCCCTGTTTTCCCAAAGGGAAAGATTAGCAGAGCCAGCGCAGAGCAGTTTTACCGCTGATCACTTGTAAGCAGCCTAACTGTGTTCAGGAAAACAGTTATGTACTTGGGACTCTGCTTAGGAGATAATTACTTAGACCTCTGTAGTCTGATCCCTGAGTCAGTCTAAAGAGGATAGAGGTGCACACACAAACTCACACAAACTCAAGCACACACACACACAAACACACACATTCAGGAACAAACACTTAGTCTGTAGTGATGTCATTAAACTGGCAGATCTGTTGACATGCTTGCTGTCTGTGTGTATTCCTGTGTGCATTAACCCACACCTACGCACACACACACGCACACGCACACACATGCACAGTGCCAGTGTCCTCACGCCTTGTAGACTGTGACAGAATCTATTCGCCCACCTGCTCCTCTTTATTATCCAGAATGCAGGGCTGTAGATGTAGGGTAGAATATCCGGCTGGTTTGGTTCCTCTCCTGTATCGTCTCTCTCGTTCTTTTCTTTCTCTTCTCTTTGTTCCCCTGCTCTCCTTTTGTTATGACTCCATCTGTTTTCCCTCTTGTTCTTCTCGCCTCCTTGTTCCCTGCTACCTGTTTTTCTTTCTGCTTTTAACAATACCCCTTCATCTTGTTTCCTCTTCCCCTCTCTGCTCCCTTCTTGTCTCTGCTTCTCTTCACACCTCTATTCTCTTCTCATCTCCTGTTCTCGTCTTAGCTTCTCTCTTCTGTTCATTTTCCTTCTACCTTCCTCCCCTTCTTATTTCCTATTCAATCCTCTCTTTCATACTTCAGCATGCTCTCCACGTATTCAATTACTCTGGACTTGATTACATGCTTAAAATGCGACATTGAAGGGCAAGGAGCTACTTACTCTCCAAAGGAAATCTATCGATGTCCTGCTTACGATGCTGCAAGGTTTCTCCCAGCTTTGCTTTTTTTGTGTGTTTTCAGGACAGCTGTCCTCCTCTGGTGCTGGCAGGTGTGTGTTATATGAGGAGCAGGAGAGGGGAGTGGGAGGTGGGCTTCTCTGATGCAGTCGTCTCTTCTTTGAGCACACACACACACAGAGCGGTGACCTCTCTCGAGGTTATCATCTACCCACAAATCTTAGAAAGCTATAGTCACAGACAACCGAACAGTGCACAAAATCAATGCATTCTTATTAGAGAGTTAGTTGTAGATGCAATACTGAAAATTGACCCACAAAATGTGTTTGTTATGTCTTTTTTCTTAACTTTTAAATCGTTTATCTACAGGATAGGACTGTAGCGAGAGCTGGACACCAGGATAGAGAGTGGGGAGTGACATGCAAGAAAAGAGCTTCAGTTGGGCCACCCTGCTGGACCACAGCCCTATATATGGGGTTACCCAACTGCTTGGCCAGTATCCAATTTCTATTAATGCTGATATGAAATGTTGGTCATAATTTGTGTCTAAACTCTAAAACAATCTCTTGCCACAGGCTCCTGATGTGCCTCACATTACCGTTACCTGCTATGATGCCATAAAGCTCGACTATCCAGATGTAAACAAGCAGGGGTGATGTCTTATAGAGGGGGACTTTCTGTCAGGATCATGATTTTACAAATGGGGAGAAAGTTTAAGCAGGCCTGTGTCTGTTCAAAGTGGCATGTGACCGCTTAACCAGATAGGTGTGTGACCAGCACAGGCATGTGGACATCAACTTGGTTAGGGGACTGTAGCCCTGCAAATGTTAACCACACTCTATGAACTGATTAAAATTTTTGCTTATCTGCAGAATCTTGTTTTTAAATTTGTCTTGGAAATTTTTTCCAAAGTGTTTCCCTCCCTTTAGACTTGTCGATTTGTCGGGATGTGAATTTCTTTTTTTTTTTTTTATTCTCTCTTTTCTATTACAAACTAAAACATTAATTTTAATATAATCATTCATCAAAAGTCTGTTTGGGGCAGAATACTGAGAGGTGATGGATAGAGATAGGTTGTCTTCTTTTTTTATTTGATTTTTTTTTTCTGTCTGCATGACAAGACAAGACTAAAGAGTAACCTAATGAGTTTTGTCATTGAGGTACTTTGAAGACAAGGACAGAGAAGGTGAGAAGACAAATCATCTTCCCAAGAAGAGGTAAAACACACAGTACAAAACTAAGTTTGAAGTAGCTGTCAGACAGGAAACACTTCAGTTCTTTCAGCACTGACAGCAGGTCCCAATCCAACCAATGGGAAGGCTTGGTTAATAACCTCCAGAGTAAAAGGATTGATCACTCCTCGCTCTTTGGCTGTCTTCCTTTAGGTTAATATATGATGTACTGAAGAAATTTGGCAATGAGATTTTAAAAGCACAAAGATTTACTTTGGCTGTCTGTTGTTAGTGACAAATAGTACAAACCAGTAACCGACACGACTTATTTCTCAGTCATCCCCGCAGCGCCACAGTGCTTTACACAGTCGGACATTGGGCATCTACTGACTTCAGTGGGAAGTGCAGAGTGGGTTGTTTCACCACACAAAACTTGGTGGTCATTGGATAAATGCTGGGCTTTGTGCCGCCCATCAGATGCTCAGCTTCTCTTAGGGTCTATGGGGCCATGGGCTGGCCCGGCTGCTGGGCCTCTGCATGATGATAGGATAATCTGTCTAAGGAAGAATCTGTTTTTGATTGACTGTGAAATGAGCGAATCATTGATCCTTAAGTCTAAACATCCACCAGAGCGTTTTCCAAGTTTTTCATTCCGTTGTTCTGAACTAATCCGGAGACTTTACTGATCCCCAGCAACTTTGTCTTTGTTAAAAATGACTAGCGTTGTGCTTGGTGACTCTCTTCTGTCACTCTGCAGTTTATTTCTCCGTAATGTTCTTGAAAAGGAACGGAGGGTAGATATAAATAAATAAACACATTTATGATGTAGGCCGGGAAAAAAAAAAAAAAAAGCTTCCCCTCATTTAAAGACCGGCAGCCGCCACTGGTATAAACAAACAAAACTTTTGTACATGACACCAACACACTGTGATTACAGTTCATAAATCAAAACCAATGTACACTTCAAATATGACCCATCTTTTGAACACCAAGTACCTTGTGAATTTAAGCTATTAAAACCCAGTTCACTTAAAGATTACAAAACTGTGTAACCTCTTTCATTATTAAACACACATTTGTCATTGTAATGTGTCTTAGAGGAGTTCCTTATTTGGGTTTATTGTGAAGGTTTAACCAGATGTTCCATATTTATCATTGCCAAGTTGACCTCCAAGCCCCGAGGTGGTACCTTGAATATCAATTATTAAAGCAAAAGACTTGTGACTATGTTTTTCCAAAGCTGTAGGTAAGAGCAAATTCATTATTCAAAACTTGTGGTTTATTTCAGACACTCAGCAAAGATCTGATGTGTCATAACCTGCTGATGATGCTCACATAATGACTACACTGGTGGGAGTGCAAGACTGTCTTCTTTATTTATTTCTCTTTATTTTTATGAATTTTGTCATCAGCTTCAAACAGGCTGGCTCGAGGTGGCACCTGCAGTGGCTCTAACAGTTTGAGGACTCGTCCTTGGCTTTAGTTGAGCAGGGCTCAGTGCACTGCTTTATTCATCCCTCCCACTTGTGTGATGGAGCGCCTTGACATGAATTATTCCCATTTTCATTTCTTGACATTGAGACCATCCCTCATGGACCTTCAGCGGGGACTTTTAGTGAAACTGCAGTAGCACGGGATGACACTGTATCATCAATAATGCTGAGAATTATTCAAAGTCAAAGTCAAGTACATCCTGCATGAAACTCACACATCTCTGAAACTGTGTTCAGTGTTTTTCCAAGAATTGGGGAAATTTTAGAAATGAATCTCACTCTGATGTGTGAAAACAGATGTTTGTTAAAAAAAAAAAAAAACACTGATCATTGCTTTGTCTCAAAAAAAATGTTCAAATTGTCACTTTCATTTCTCACTGGCTGCTAACAAGCCTAAGATATTTTGGGCTTCCTAAAAATGCAGTCAATTAAATACCTCTGTGTTTCAAAAGGTAAATCTCCCGTTTGGACGCTAATTGGAAAATTCTTTCAAGTCTTACAAAATATCTCAAGTACCAGTATTTATCTTTGAATAATTGTATGCTACAATTGTATAATGTTGTATTGACCTTAAAGCCCCCAAAACAGGAAAGACATGACAAGAAACATGAAGAAGGATAAATAAACTAATCCAGAGACATGACAGCTCTCCCCCCTCTACGGCTGACCTCTGACAGCCCAGGGTGGTCAGGTGGAGGTCTCTGATGAGGTTGGGATCCACATCATTGTCAGCTGAAGCTCAGGAACGTTCCCCGGGCTGTAAGCCTCTCAATCATAGACTGTATGTACTATGGACAACTTGGTTCTGCCTTTCACCAGTATACGGATTTAAAGCCAAAAAGGCTGAAGGTATTGACCAGAGCGAGGGGGCAACCGCCATTCCAACATCCCCCCATTCTGACATTGGTCTCTAATTGTCGGAATGGCGGAATGTTAACATGCTATCAAACGTCCCATCATTCCATCAGCTCGCGTCTGCTTTGGTCGGCCGCGGAGCCCTCTGCTCGGGTTCAGTGTGGGGCACGCCCAGCTACGCTCGGGATTAAATGGACGCAGCTTTCCCCCTTATATGGAAAGCTGCGTCGGAATGGTGAGAGGTCGGAGTGGCGGGATGTCGGAATGCTGAGAAGTCAGAGTGGCAACATGTAACTGACCAAAGCACTCTCCTTGACCAAAGCACTCTCCTTGACTGGCCTGAGTTGACTCACATGAAACATGGGTTACAATCAACCAGTTAGGAGAATGACCTCAATAGTTTAGTGAGTGGGCGGCTCTGTGAGATTTTGTGTGATTTCCCAACAAACTATTTTGAACATCTAGTTTTACACAGATGTAAATATACCCATTCAGAGAGATTACATGAAGTCTGTTCCCTTCTTGATCAGTTGTGGCTCAAGAAGATGATAACTTTTTTTCTGTAATGTCTAATTTAAGGTTTCATGGGATATGTTCATAAAACTTGATACAATGGTGGCTTTATGTATCTTTCACATACAGGCCTTGGTTTTATGACAGAAGAAAAATGAGTGTAGACAAGGCCAGTTTCAGCTGTCACATTAATAAGTTAGCTAAGATATACACTGACCAGAGAAACTGTGGGTTATCATATCAAACAGGAAGAAAATCCCCCAGGAACAGTATGTCAACAGACTGCACGATATCCCCTTGGAAAGTTTAAATTCTTTTCACATTTTCATGTACAGCAGAGGACAGCATGATGACCAACTGAATCTCCAGGAAAATCATCCTTCATGAGCAGAGATGGAGGCATAGAGGTGTGTCGGCAGCTCAGACTTGTTTGAAGAGCTACATGGTGTATATATAGCTTTGGTGAGATATTTGCTCATACATCTGGTCTACATGTTGCCCAGCTGCCAACAGGCTCACATTTGATGGGAGCCCTGCTCACAAAGCCTGAGTCACTCTGTACAATGAGCCCGAGGCCAACACAAACATGCAACTCTTCATTTTACACACACCGAACACAAACACACATATGATGCATGGATCTTTCAGGAATATTAGGGAGGATCAGCAGGCTGAAGCAGAGCGCAGGTACTCACAAAGTCAGAGGATGGTGGGATGAATCAGGCTTCCAGCTGTTCTTGCATGCCATCCCTGCACTCTGTCTTATGCTTGATCTGTCCTTTCTTATTTCCTTCCCCTCAATGTATCGAGCTTTCTAGAATGGCTACTGGTGGAGATTACAAAAATACCAAAAAC